GGCGACACTGAGGGTTGCGATCCGTTGCCGGACACGGAAAAAGAGGAAAAAAAAAAAAAAAAAAAAAAAAGAAAAAGGGTCCATTATAAACATGGAATTTCAGGGCCCAGTGGAAGTGGTGGATGCAGACAAGGCTCTGTTCCTTTCTCACCTCTGCTTCCCTGCCCTTGAGGTCTGTCCTGCGGACTGCAGAATTCGGGGATGTTGAAATTTAACCTTCCCTGTCACAGACAGGTATGCAAATGATGAAGCCAGATTTTGCATTTATTCTTAGAAATTTTCCTTCTCCACACAAACACACACACACACACACACACACACGCATGCTTCAAAAGGCTCATTAGAATCCCAATGAGTCTTTGTATTTTACGGAAAGTTTTTTTTCTATTTTGTTAGAGTATTTAACAATAGGTTTTATTTCTAGAAAGCAAATTAATTAAAGAAAAACTCATCACAGGTCTGGAACCACAGTCTGTGGGTGGAGTGTCTGAGAAAGTGTGGCCTGGACTTGCCTTACTGTTCCTCGTCTGGCGTTGGTCTACACCCTCTCACAGTGCAGATGAATACGAAAAGATAAGCATTCTCTGTTAAGAAGCAGTGTGAAAGGAGAGTCCATGGGAACAGAAAACTCATAGATGTGAAGACTTGATCAGTTCTGGTTGATCTTATTTCAGGATATGGACAGAGAACAAGTGAACTAAAGAACTCCCCCTTTAATGTCCAGCATACGTGGAGTCCGGTGCTGTGTACGTGGAGGGGACCCAGAGCCCCGCACGTTGGGAATGCCACATCATGTGATTGGAAATGCTGACCTCTTCCATTTTCTTGCTTGGTGACTGTCTTGGTCACCAGACTACTCTGATTTTCCATTTTCTCATCTGGACAAACGCGGGGTTTGAGGTAGTTGATTATTAAGAATTCCTTCATCTTTCTCCACTTCTCTTTAATTCCTCAGTTTATCTTTATCAGACATTTTAATGCTTCCAAAGAGTATATAGCACATACTATCTTTATAGATTAAGTGTGACCCCCCCCCCAACTTTTGTTAGTATTTACTTTCTTGAAACTTATAGTAAATTCAGACAAGATAGATTTCATGCCCAAATGAACATGTTCTTGAAACTGGATTCCTGATCGTCACTGCACCTCTGCCCGGGCCTGGGCGTGTGCCAGCATGCGTTGCTGCCCTGCCTGGGTAGCTGGCATCAACACTGAGTTCTCTCACTTTGCTCTCAAACAGATCCTTCAGCAGTGTCTGCAGGGCCTCAGAGGCCTCACAGGCCGCCCCCACCAGTGGGTGGCCAAAGCCTCACCCTTAAAAATAAACCATGTGTTTTCCGCACAGGTCAGAGCTGTGAGTCTTGGGCCCTGCTGCCTCCAGACAGCTGCGGCACATGAGAAAGTGCCGGGGTGCCAGGGCCATTCCTACACTTTCATTGCTGGAGCCAACCTCAGTCTTATGGGGACAGGGACCAGTCACTGTCACCATTCAGGGAGAGAAATGTCAGACTCAATTTTGTTGCAGTTTTCTGATCCACTCTACCATTTTTGTGGTGAATGTCATATAGCCTGTGTGCCAGTACGTGTTCTGTCTGTTCCTTGTTTATCTGCAGGTACTTTAATACTATCCACTTTAATGTATCTATGTCACACCCACTCAATTCTAGAAACATCCTACATTATACATATACATAATGATGCATGCTATAGTTTAGATAGAGTTTTACCCCAGGGTATACTATATTTTACTCTTTTATAGCTCTGTAATAGAGGGTTTCGATCCGACTAACTTTACAATGTTTGTGTTCACATGTATCTGTGTAGTGGCCTCGTGTTGAGGCGGGTCCTCTGGTTTGGATGCTGTGTGATGGAGTCAGTCCCCTGATCTCCTCGGTTGGGGCCTCTTGGCATGTAATCAAGAGCCCTGGTCCTCGTGATTAAATCGTGAGCCTTTGCTCCTTACGGAATGATTTAAGGATCATGAATGCTTGGTTTTTGCTGTGCTGGGTAGACACTATTAATGTTCATGCATATGTGACTCATGCACTGATTTTATGTCTGTTCTGTAACTCACATTTGAAATTGTATATTAGCAGATAAAGAATTGATATTTACCTTTGTTTGGGTTGTTATTCTAATGGCAGAATTTGTAAAATCCAAGTTTGTGATTTTTTTTTCCACCAGTGGACTGGCTCTCTAGCAGGTCGGAGTGACAAGGGAAGACTGATTTTTCTGTCCTTCAGGAACACCTAAATTTTCACTCCTCTTGTCGTGGCTTGAGAGAGAAGAACTAAATGAATTAGTGGCCAGGGCCTGGAGTGGCCTTTGCGAGCAAATGAATGAATAATAGCAATTGTAGTCATGCTAGAGCTGCATGTGCCAGCTGCTGAGCACTGTCCCTCACAGTTAACATAATCACCCCAATCTGCAGATGAAGAAACTGAGACTGGGAGTCTCAGCAGTTTGCCCAGGTACTTGTCAGGTGTAGGTGCTCTCTCTGCAGCACCTTCTCATGTGAGTTCCCCAGACCCTCAGCCGAAGTCTCCCAGGGTGGGGGGGCAGTGGTTAAACTGCACACTGCTGGCTTGCCCCCAGGGTTCTGGATCTAGAGGTCTGGAGAGGCCGCAGATTTGCATCCCTCACAAGCTGCTGGGGAGGCTTGTGCTGCTAGTCGCACCTTGCTTTGGCAATCATGGCCCTTGGTAGCTTGTCAGCCACCTGGTGCATCTGGGCTCCAGTGTCCTCATCTGGAACATGAGAGAGCCCATCCTAGCTCTAAAATCCCGAGGGAGGAAACACCAAGAAAGAGAGATTGAGGATTTAGAGCTCAAGACAAAAAAAAAAGAAAAAAGAAAAAGAGGAAACAGTTGCCCTCTGGAGCATGTAATTAACAGGAGAAACATTCTGGGTGCAGTAGAGGAAGGAAAACCTGGAAGTGTGTGTCCTGGGAGATCTGCTGCGAGGGTGTCACGTACCACCTGGGCCACTGCTCACTGTTCCTCTGTGTTCTGCAAATGAGCAGGGAGGCCACTGACTCATTTTGCTCAGTCGGTGTTTTTTCCTCACTTGTGATTCTGGAGCTGTGCCATCGGATTCAGACATCGGAGCTGCAGGGCACACCTGGCTCCTGGCCACTTGCACGTGGCCAGTCCATGCCAAGATGAGCTATATGCCATAGGTGCTGGATCCTGAAGACTTAGCGCCAAAATGAATGTAAAATACCTCTTCAATAACTTTTATATTGATTACACAGTGGAATGATAATATTTGGTACATTGGATTTAAAAAGTTATTAATAAGTTAATTTCACTTGGTTCTTTTGAATGTGGCTACTAGAGAGTATAGAATTACATATGTGGTTCTCTTTAGCTTCCTATTGGACAGTGCTGTCTTGTCCAATAATGTTCATTGATTTATTTGTTGTTTTATTCTCCTAAAGTACACAACCACACCCAGAGAAGATGCAGCCACAATCCCTGAAAGACTGCAAGAACTTTCAGTGACTTCCTAAATGAGCCTGAAGGCTTTGGGGTGGCTCAAAAAGATTTGAATTCAATAGTTGATCATTTTTCTCTCTTATAACAGCTAAGAGTTTAAGATGAGAAGATTCATTATTAAGATTTTTAAGGTGAAGTATTTAATCTCTTATTTAAAATGCTAAAAAATAAAAATAACTTACTACTTTTTTTTTTCCCAGACACTTTTAGAAAATCATCACTTGGCAATGATGAGACAGATAAAGAGAAGAAAAAAATTCTGGGATTTTTCAAAGTTAAGAAAAGAAGCAATAGTAAGGTAATGGATTAAATACAAAATAAAAATAACTTACTACTTTTTTTTTTCCCAGACACTTTTAGAAAATCATCACTTGGCGATGATGAGACAGATAAAGAGAAGAAAAAAATTCTGGGATTTTTCAAAGTTAAGAAAAGAAGCAATAGTAAGGTAATGGATTAAATACACATATGGTTTTGCATCAAGTAATAATAGTTTGTTGAGATATTAAACTCCACCTATCTTGGAATTTTTCTAAATAATTATATTTAGGAATTTTAATTTCTTCAGGCAAAAGGGAGCTTATCAACATGCACTGAAATGACTGAGTTTGCACGTCCACACTTGATTCCTAGAGCACAAACTTGGTGTGATGGTGTTTTATTCACCAGGATTACATGAAGCCTTTGGGCTCCTGAAGGCCAGGGCTATGTGCCCTTCTTCTGTCTGGTACATACACAGAACCTGGCATGTGTTTGAAACTCAGTAAATATCCTTTAGGTCGATGAATGAGTGAATGCATGCTACAGTTAAGTATAAATAAAGTAGTCACTATCTCTATAAATGAACTGCAGCTTCAAAACTTGTATAACAAATGAAGGCTCAAGGAGCTACACTTAAGGCCCCTTTGTAGAGAAGAGTACCAGTTGTTGAACTTGTCCATTTGCTTAAATTTTAGGTGTTCTTTGATCCTCTCAATATGCTCTAGGAATATATCACATGATAACTTAATTATATTAATCTTTTTGGCCTTTATTAGATAAATCTTACAGTCATATTTTGGATACAATGTTATAGAGTAATTTAACATCATAGAACAAAGAGTAAAACTGGATATTTTTATAATGTTATTGGATTCTCAAAACCATAAATGCCTTCTAACTACCAAGAAAAAGATAATGCTTATTATCCCTATTGTGTTTGCTTCATAGTTATATTTTGCTAATATCTCATATTTTTTTCCTTACTAAAACATGAGACTACAAAAGATAAACCCATTCCTATGAACATTAGGCTTTCGTTCCCCTAGCTCAATTGGGAACTGTTCTCCATCTGTGTAGTTTTAGCAGTGGCAAGAGAAAATGGGGGCTTACGTTTGCTTAGGAACTTTCTCAGCACCATAGCACAGATCTGTGCATCCATGCCCGAGGCTGGGACACCTCATTCCTGACCCTCAGGAGCATGCAGTGTTGGGATCCTGATTCACCCCAGATTTGCTGTTGAGGACACTGGAACTCAGAAAACTAGAGTAACTTGCTCAGGGTCTCAAGCTTAGACCAGGACTGTCTGACTGCAAAGCCAGCCTGGAAAGGGAAGGCCTCGTGGAGCTGGGGCTGCAGGAGCAGAGACTTGCTGTCTTTATGAGTTTTTACAGACCTGAGCTCAGTTTCTCTTCACGTCTCCTGATGCTTTGATCATGGTTTTGTGATTCTCATGTTTATTACTGATTGCACATGCCCTTTCCCGTTTCTGTGTGTTCTTTGAAGATCTGTGCTCAGTGTGTCTCACTGTGTAACATCTTTTGTGCCCTCCTGCTCCCCTCCTTCCTCCCCTCCCTCTCCTTCCCTCCCCCTCCTTTTCTCCTCCTGTCCTGACCTCCTTTTCCTGTCAAGATTACTTGAAATGACAGAATCAGAACCTTGAGTTTTTACTTTTCATCATGCTGTGAATGTTGCTTTTGTTGTGGTTGTTCCTGGAATTTTCACGGTGTTTTCTGGGACCGAGTTCCCCAGCGCCCACACAATACCAGGTCACAGTAACATCGACATTCCTTGCTCCTCCAGCATGACCTCAGCAGTTGTTCTGCTGTGCCTTCCTCCTTTTGAGAGGTGAAACTGCCATCAAAGCAAGGAGAACATCTAGAAATGCTTTTGTTTTACGCAGAAATAAGGCGGCAAAGGATACCTCAGGGAAAATGCCACCAGTGGTCACGTCTGGCTTGTTGATTGCGAGGGACGTTTCTTTTTGTCAGACCCTGTCTTTTGTCTGTCCTGGACTTGCTAAAGTGATTTTTTGTTTCTTATATACCTGTCTTTCATTGATCATTTTCCTTCTCATGTATTCTATCATATTTTACCTGGAGGTCCCTTATTCAATCTTATCTTTGTTGGATTATTTGTCGTTGGTTTTTTTCTGCATGAACTTCTTAACTCCTTGTTTCTCTGCTTTCATTATTTGAGAAACTGAGTTAAACGCAACCTCATTTAATCTTTCTAGACACCTGGTGAGAGAGGTGTTAGCTCCATTTTACAGGCGAAGAAACTAAGGCTGAGCAACTCTGAGCTAACCATAACACTGGTAAATGCTGGAATTTATAAATGCCAGAATCTGAACCCAGGCCGGTCTTTTCAAAGTTCTTGCTGCGTTAATCACCTGTTTACATTGTACAGTGCTTAACAAGAGTGGGTTTTAATTTCTTCAGTAATAAAATGGAATGAATAATTTTTAAAATGATTTCTAAAATCCTATGATGCCATACAGTTTGCAAATGTTTCAGTGAACAGAGACTAAGAATGGAGAATTATCAAGGCATTTAAAACTAAACTGACTCTTTACTATATCTCCTTAAAGGAAAAATATGTGCATATGTGTGTGTTTCAAATATGTGGGTATGTGTATAAAATCTCAACAGAGAATATACTGAAATATATAATTTTGATTGAAGTAAATGAGAAACTAAACTGACTCTTTACTATATCTCCTTAAAGGAAAAATATGTGCATATGTGTGTGTTTTAAATATGTGGGTATGTGTATAAAATCTCAACAGAGAATATACTGAAATATATAATTTTGATTGAAGTAAATGATGGCAGATGTCTTTGTTTTGAAATTTTCGTGTTTTGTTGTTTTTAAAACATGATAGTTTTGTACCATTTTGACATTATTTATTTTCCTAACACAGTAGTTTTCAAAGATACCTAAGAATCACCTTATGACCTAGTTAAACAATTGGATTCTTGGGTCATGTCCCCAGACATTCTCATTTGGGAGGCCAGGTGGAAGCTCAGAAATTGAGTTTTTCAATTATACCCAGGTGATTCTGTGGTCGGTGGTATATGATCATTTTTCTTTTATGCATAGGGAGTGATATATTTCGTGAATTATTTCTGTGTACACTCAACAAATTACCTATGCAGTTAAAACTTCGACATCTTCAAAGCCTAATTAATTACTATAATTAATTGCTGAGCTAACTACATCAGCTCAGGCCCTCTATTGTATTAAAATTGTGCCTTTTCTAAGCTAAAGAGATGCTTTTGAGAAAAAGAAGAAAGAAAACTTCTTTGCGTGAGTTGTGGATTTCAAAGTTGTGATTTTTAAATTAAGCAGCACTTTGATTAGGGGCTGTTTTAAAACGGCTTTCAAGTTCATAAGCCAAGGGAAATGGCCTGGGTTACAGCTATTTAATAACGATTCTGCTGACTTAAAGTGTGACCATGCTGGCATGTCTTGCCTTAGTGATTGCTAGGGATGACTTTTTTTCTGAACTCACTTTCTCCTGGACATGATGGTGTGCATGCTGTGTTCCAGACTGAGCAGCTTGGGCTGTCGGGCGTGGAGAGTGACGAGGACACCTTGAAGTCAGCATCGTTGGGAAGGGGGTTGAACGTGAGTACTAACAGCCCAGCAGCGCTTCTGCTAATTGGGCAGAATGTCTCTCTGCTTTGCACAACCTTCCAGCTAATGAAATTACAGGGTGGCTTAGTTTATTAGTCCATTTCTCTTGCATATGACGTAAGTACCTGAAACTGGGTGATTTATAAAGAAAACAAAATTTATTGCTTACACTTTCTGAGGCTGGGAAGTCCAAAGTCCAGGGAACATATCTGGTGAAGGCCTTCCTTGGTGATGGCTTCAGCGACATAGGATATCACATTGTGAGATGGCGGAAGCAGACAGAGACTCTCACGTTCTCTCCTTTTAAAGCTCTCAGAACCACGCCCATGACCACCATTATTAATCCATTCACTAGGCTTGGTCCTACAATCTTACCACCTTTCAAAGCCCCACCTTTCAATTACGGTAATAAGATTTCCTACTCTCAACAGTTACAGTGGGAATTAAGCTTTAATGACTTAAAACTTGGGGAACACAATTCAATCCATATCAGTTAGTTTTGTTTGTATGGTTGTTTTTTGTAGCCTAGATAGATTCACAAAGCTGCTTTGGCTTCTTTTACAGTTGCCCATGCTACATTTGGAAGATGTAGAATATTTTAGTTTTTATTTTTCTCTGTACCAGTCAGTGTGATCAGGAGAATCCTCCACTGGATTAATTTAATTTACACTTTGTAAAATTATTTTCATACACTATCAGGAGTAGCCTGAGGTTTGGGAGCCATAAAGACCTGTTTTCTATCCCTGGAGCTACGAGTTGCTAAGCTCTGTGACTACACTTTGCTTGTGGAGCCCTGGAAAGAGTGTTTTTAAAATGCCTATGCTCTCACATCTCATAGTTGGCATGTAAATAGTTTCTTCATAATTTTAAATATATTGAAAGAATGTATTTCATGACATCTTTCAAGCATAAATAGATACTGAGTAGAAAAGAATTTTACATGGGGACCAGCACAGAATGAGAAATCAAGAAAAAGAATGTAATGTAAGAAAAAAAATGTAACAAATTTTGCATCATTGTTCTTTTTCTTGATTTCATATTTCTGTGCCAGTCCCCATGTAGAATTTTATTCAATTCAGTGTATATTTTATGCTTGAAAGTTTTTTTATAAAGACTTGAAATAAAATGTGATATGAAAGAAAAATATCTAAGTTAGATGTTTTTATTTCATGTGATCATAAATCTTAATATAGGAAAATATTTCTGGGGAATGAGTTCTTATAACAGTTGCAGTATAATCAAGTCAATGTTAATTAATATATTATACTTGTAGATATATAATTGTTAAGCAGGAAAAATAAATTTTTCTTAAAAAGACATTTCTTGATAAGATTAAAGGTAATTTTAAAAAATTTATTCCATATATTCATTGATGAACATGATTTATTGATAAAACTAGAAAAGATTCAACATTAATTCTGTGCCTCTTCATTTTTACTGATGTATGCCTCCAGGAAACATTTTACATAAATAGTACATAACAATGGAAAAGTCCTTATATAATCAGTACCTTTCAATTCTTTGAAGTCCTTCTGGATAACCTGCCAAAAATCACATACTGATCTATCATCAGAAATTGTTTTGAATGATCTTTTACCTGTTCCTGATTAGGTTATCTTTCACATTTGTCAATAGCAAAAATTTGGAAGCCATCTGACTTGCAAAGGGATTTGTTAATCTCACTGGAGTTATTGACTTCTGGGAGGTATAAGAAAAAAATGTTGCACCAAGACTTAGCAAATGATAATTATATTCATTGTGTTTTGTTCATAGGCACTTTGTAAGTCTCACATATCATCAGTAAGGGTTGAGGAAATTGTAATATTGTTAATTTTCACTAATTTATGCCAAAACAGGTTTTTTAAGTGAATTTTTTAAATCCTATCCCAAACCTTAAATCTATTTTTGTCAAGATCTTGGGTTTATACATTTAGCTCATTCAGTTTATGGAAAATGTCTACCATATGAACTAATTGGCAAAATGAGCCCTTATTGTCCAGCCAAAAAGTCAAATCAAATTTACTTTTGATTAAAGAAAGTCTAATTATTTTGTTTAACCTAAGCAGTAAATGAGCTAATATGTGTCACATGACAATTGTCTTACTTCTGAATCTAACAGCAGCTGTGTTGAGATGTTATCAGTTCCTCACATACCAATTTAAAAATGTGAATTTAATGCTATGTACTTAATGCCATTTTCCCTTTTAATGACCATATTTTATTGTGCAGTGAAGATCAAATCTCAACTTTTATTGCAACCAAATCTTGGTGAATAACAATGTTTCCAGTTTAAGAAGGATTTAACATGTCATTCAGGAACTAGAGCTGCTCCGGAGCCCAGGCACTGAGCTGCTGCCCATACAGATGCTATGACCATTTCCATGTGAACCCAAAGAAGCTTGAATACAATTATGTGATTATTCTTAAGAAAATCTCTGCTTCAGTTGAAATTTTTTCAAGTCTTTACCTTCTATAATCACACTGGCAATACCGTCTTCTTTGCTATGAAAGAGATTTAAATCAACCAAGAATGATTTGAAATGTCCAATGACTCATTAGTGTGTATAGCTTCATCAGTCTCAATTTTGGCCACAAGCACTTAGGAATGTCTTTTAATATCTCATGTACTCTACAAGTTTCATTTTTTGTTTCAGTAGGGAACCTTTTAATTACATTGAAGGGCTCAGCATCTTACGCTTTTTTGGCTATTACAATGAACCAGGTATAGTAACTTTTTCTACAGGAGTGAGTGGTAGTGTAAATTTGTGTGAGTTGTTTTTTTGCTTTTTCTCACTAATAGAACAAAAAAACATATGTGTGACATAGGTAGGTAGGTAGATAGGTAAATAGACAGATAGGACCTAGGCAAAACTTTATAGGAATTATGAGGAAAATCATGCACTCCTACAAGCACACACAGAAGTACAGTTGCACAAGGGCAAAGGCATGCTACGTTCTTAGGAAGATTCAACATTGTTATGTCAATGGGTTTTGTTTTAGAGCTAAAGTTGTAAACTGATTACTAAGTTTGCTTGTAAAAATAAACAAGCGAGAATAACCAGGGAATCCCCGAAAAGCATAAGGGATGACCTTACTAGTTTTTTAAAAATAGGTTTTAAAGTCTCTATAATTAAAATGGATAGGTAGCCCAATGAAACAGAATAGAAAATCTTAGAACCACTTGCATACAGAAATACGGTATGCATACACGTCAAATCAGTAGAGGCAAATAAACTTATTAATAAGTGAAATTAGGATCATTGAATAGCCATAAGGAAAAGCATAAAATTGTATGTTTTCACAGTATACACTAGGAAATAAATCAAATGGATCAGAAATCTAAATATGCAAATTGAAACCATGTGAGTACTAACCAGCAGAAAACATGAGTGAATTTATCTACAAACTGAGAATGGGGATATACTTTCCTAACTGTGACTCAAAGTCCAGATGTGGTAAGGAAAAATGTTGATAAATTGTCACTTCAGGAAAAACAAACAAAAAACCCTCTTGAGCAACAGAAAAAAAAAAAAAGGAAAGAAAGCAAGAAAGGAAAGAACAAAAGAAGGAAGGAAAGGGGAGGAAGGATAAGCAAGATAAAAATTTAAATGACCGATGAGAGGAGGTTTTTAGAAACAAAGAAGATGTTGACAACCGGACCTGGAGAGGTATAAATAAAAGGTTCAGAGAGAAATACATATAACTGGTACATAAATAAATGAAAAAAATGCTTAAATTTATAATGAGAAATATAAATTAAAAATCATATTGAACTTCCATTTATTACCTATTAGATTGGCAGAAATCCAAAAGTTTGTCAATACACTCTGTTGGCTAAGCCATGGGGCTCTTATATATGTTGCTCAGTGGAATGCAAGATGCTATAGCATTTACAGTGGGAAATTAGATTGGCAGAAATCCAAAAGTTTGTCAATACACTCTGTTGGCTAAGCCATGGGGCTCTTAAATATGTTGCTCAGTGGAATGCAAGATGCTATAGCATTTACAGTGGGAAATTCATTAATATCCAGCCAAATTATACATGCATTTACTCTTCGACCCAGAAATCCTACTTTTAGAAATCTGTCCCAATTACTCACTGGCAAAAATATAAAATGATTCATGTGCAAGACTGTTTATTGCAGCATCATTTGTAACAGCAAGAGATGAAGGCAGCCCACATGCCCATCAGTAGGGAATTAGTAGATTAAACAATGGTATATTTCCACATGACTGAATACCATAAAGCTCTAAAAGAGAAGGAAGAAGATTGTTATGTACTCATATGGGGTGTTCTCTAGGACATATGTTTTTCCACTTTTAAAAATTAGGGGTGGAGGCCGTCCCATCTCCGTGAGTGGCCTGAGAGGCTCCGGGACTTTAAGACTGAGTCAAACAAGCTGGTGAATGCTGGTGGGGCGGGACTTCTGGTGCAGGCCTTTCATCTCCATGAGCGACCTGAGAGGGATGAGTTCCCAAGCCCCGAGCCAGACAAGCTGGTGAAGGCTGACAGGGCAGGAATTTCAGCCCAGGCTCTCCCGTCTCCGTGAGTGACCTGAGAGGCACAGGCTCTGAAGCCCCAAGCCTGACAAGCCGGTGAAGGCAGGTGGGGCGAGAATTCTGGCCCAGGCTGTCTGTCTCTGTGAGTGACTTGAGAGTCTCTGGACTCCCACACCACCCGACAAGCTGGTGAAGGTGGGGTGGGACTTCCAGTCCAGGCTAGTTTCTGTGTCCAGAAGCAGCAGACCCTTCAGGATCCAAGCCAGACATCAGGGTGAAACTAGTGAACTGTGATACCCTAGGTCACAATGACAAAACACCAAAGGAAAGAAACCAGAAATATGAAAAATCAAGAAAGTACATCATCACCAAAGGAAATTAATAACTTACAAGTGCTAGATCCTATAGAACAGGAAGTCTTTGAAATGACAGACAAGGAATTTAGAGTAACTATTCTAAGGAAACTAAATGAGATAAAAGAAAACTCAGTG